TGCTCCAGCGCGGCCTCAGTGCTAAGAACAGCCACGTTCTGGGCAAAGCCTAGGGCTCTGCCTTTGGGTTTGGTGGCAGCAAAGCTCTGTGCACCTCTGCTTGTGGATAAGCTGACAGCAGCGAGCCCTCCAACAGGGAAAGAGCCCCAGCAGGCCTTGAAATGCCAGGTTTAATGATCACCGCTGTTAGTGGCATTCCGAGCTGGCAGCATTCCTCAGTAGTGCTCGGGCAGGTGTGAAAGCCATTGGTCCTCTGAGGAAGCTGGGTTCGCTCTGACCCTCCCAGTGGGGTGCCCCATCCATCAGCAGAAGGAGGGAAACACATTAGCACCAATAAGGGCCTTTTGAAAAGTCATTTATTGCCTACCACATCTAATGATTATAGCAGAGGCCACTTCCACTGCAGATGTGGATTACACCACATCCATCCATCCATCCGTCCATCCATCCATCCATCCATCCATCCATCACAGCCACCTGCCCTGGGTAAAGCCATGCTCATGTTTCCCAGCTTGGGAACCACTTGATGAGCAGATTCTGTGCCCAGACTGCATTTTGCGAACCCCATCAACCTGATAACATTTGCATTGTGGTGCTGTGAAGCCAGGTCCTGCCGTATCTCCTTTGGAGTGGGGAGGAGAGCAGAAGGGAGCAGAAAGACAGACTCTGGCATTGGTGTCCTGCTTGCTCTGCAGCTGAACCAGGCACAGAAGAGCTCAGGACCCCATCTCCCAGCCGCTATAACAGACACATCCCGGTGTTTCCCAGTGCCACTGCAGCTCTGGCACACGGAGGAGCTCTATGCCCAGGTATCCAAAGATAAACTCATCTCTGAAGCTGTGCAACAGCGTTCAGACCAGTATGGGTCCCTTTCGGGGAGCGTTGGCCAAATGATAACGAAAGGGCAGCACTGATCTTAAAGAGCATCCCTGCTCCTCGCCAGGACCAGCCGAGCAGAGCAGCGCTCTGTGTTCCAGGCCATGGGAAGCTCCAGGGGGCTTTCCTGCTCCACAGCCCCGTCTGCCAGAGGCTGTCCTTCGCTGTTCATGCAGACGCGGGCTGTTTGGGGCAATGGGAAGCGACGCCTTTGGGCAGGAGAGCCCCGGCATCACCGCGGGCAGGAGCAGCCCCCGGCGCTGGCAATGGGAATCCCGGCTCCCAGCAAACAGCCTCCAGGAGCGGGGGTTCAGGCGAGGACACGGCCACTGCCAGCGCCGGGATTCGCGGAGCCCCATCAGGGAGCTGGAAACCTGCAAGAGCTCGGCTGGGCTGCAGGCAAGGGCGCACGGAGAACAGCAATGGGGAGATGAAACCTGGGCAGAGGGAGCAGGCCGGGGCCCCCCGCAGCTCCGCAGGGGCAGAGGGAGCTGGCAGATGTATGCAGTGACGATCAGGAAGGAAGAGTACCGCAGTGCACTGCTCAGAGCACTGGGTGTACTGAAATGTGATCCCGCTCAGTGCAAGGCTGAGAGATAATACAGGTATTAAACAAGAAGAAAATAGTACAGACCATAGGCAATCCCTTCTCAGGGTTGCTGGTGACCACTCTTCAATGCAGGTCATATTTACTGTGTATTTTGGAAGGAAAGTTGGGTTGAAACCCAGTTATTTTGTATTTGCTTTACTAACAGGTTGTCTTTGCACCAGCATCCACAATTGAAAGGTTCAGCAAATATGGTTTGAGATCAACAGGTCTTCTATGCTAAGACACCCCTTACACACCTGAATTGGCATCAGTGTTAGACAACAGCCACCAGTGATGCTCACAGTGGGAGATGAACGTGGCAGCTCACTGAGCTCCCTGCCTTGAAGAGCAAACACCATGGGTTGTTTTCGGGTGGCTTTGGGGAACACTGCCCTTGGTCCCAGGACATTGTTTGAACGAGGGCCTGTAGCTACAGGACAAGGGGAATGGCTTTAACCTGCCGCAGGGGAGACTGAGCTGAGCTCTTAGGCAGAAGCTCTTCCCTGTGAGGGTGCCTGGGGGACTGAGAGCAGATTCAGCTCTGCCATAGCTACTGCAAGGTGTTTGCAGTCAGGTGATCCTGTTCATGGGAATGAAATGCTGGAGAAGATGCACAACATCCTCACACCAAACTGTTTGCTGGATCCTTATTAGCCAGGATCCCTGCACAGCCCCAGTGGCACTTGGGAGCCAGCGCCTCCATCCCCCTGCCTGCCGGGAGGTGCTGGTCCAGCCTGCGCTCAGCCCATGGATGCCATCTGCCGTTCAGAGCACTGCGAGGAGAACAGGAGCGCATCCTGCACTGCTCAGCCCAGCCCAGCTGGAAAACAATCCCCAGCACACACACACAGAGGCAGGGTGCGACTGAATCTGCTCCCCAGCCTTGGCGCAGGGTCCCCCATCACCCGGAGGACAGCACAAAGCCGCTGGCTCTCAGAGGAGCCTGCGTGGCTGTTGCTGAGTCCCACAGCACCTCCTTCCAGTCTTTGATGAGCCTAGAAAGGACTTTCAATAACCTGGTGCTGCTCAGGAGCTGGGAACCCACCAACCCATGGGAGATGCTCTTGGTCCAGAAGGGTCTGTGGATGAACCACCAGAGGAGTCCAGCAACAGCAAGGAAGCCCAGGAGAGGCTGGGGGTCAGGAACAGCATTGACCAAGCCAGTTTTGGTGTGCAGTGTGAGTGCTGTAGATGGGACACACAGTGCCTGGAGCCTCTGCCTTTCCCAGCAGGATCAGGGGAGAAGGCAGCAGAGCGAGCAGGACACGGCTGCAGAGCACACTGCCCAGGAAGCTCCCAGTCCTGGAACTGGGATAGACGTGGACACAGACTCCTGGGGGAGTTTTATAGCAAGGGAAAACTTGGCTGTGCAGAGGGAAAAGCAGCCCCAGGCAGGAGCAGCCAGCACCACAGCATCTGCTGCTTGGGCCGAACCAGGCATCCTGCTTGGTGATGGGAGCTTCACTACAAAGGCAGCTGACCTGGAGCTGCCCCTCGCTGCAGAGCTGCTCTTTCTCTCCCTCTCTAAATGCTGGGCACATCCCCAGCTTTGATTACCAACCAGCCTGGTCCCCAGCCCCTGACATCCCTTCATTAAGTCCTGGAGCGGGTTTATTCCCATGACACTGCTTTGTCTGTCACTCTCCCCAGCCTTTCTGCAGGGAGAAAGCAAAGGATCAGCCTCCAGCTGTGCTGCAGCCAGACAAAGGGAGCGGATTCCTCCTCCCCTTGCTCCAGCTTAACAAAGCCAGCACAGCAGCACTGAACCCTAAGCCCTGGCCAGCAGCCTCGCTGCAATAACAAGGCTTAGTGCTGATGAGAAAGGAAAGCAGAGCAGCATCAGGCTGTGCTCTGTGTGGGAAAGGTTCCTTAAGGACAAAGGAAAACCCGTCATTAACAGCCAAAGACTCTCATTGTGCAGAGGCAGCCGGAACGGAGATTGGCTGTGCTGGGAGACATGGGCTTGTTCTGGAAGAGGAGAAGGCTCCCTCTTCCCGTCCATCCTCCTCCAGTTCGAAGGGGTGCTCCATGAGGGGCAGGAATGCAGCCCCCCAGGGCTGCACGCGAGCAGAGGGATGCTCTCAGCACCTCCCACCCCCGAGGGATGCTCCCAGCACCCCCGAGGGATGCTCCCAGCACCTCCCACCCCCGAGGGATGCTCCCAGCACCCCCAGGGATGCTCTCAGCACCTCCCACCCCCCAGGGATGCTCTCAGACCCAAACGCCGGGTCCCGCCGCCCCGTTCCCTGCAGCCTCACCCCAGAGCCCTCCGCTGGGCTCCGTGCTCCTCACCGGGGCCTGGACCACAAACACCCCCCCAGCCGGTGCCGTTGTCGCGGCCGCCGCACGGTGTCCTCGGTGCTCCGCAGTTCCCCCCTGCACCGGGACCCTGCTCCTGCGGCCAGGAACGGCTTTAAAGGGAGGATCAGAGGCACTAATGGTTTGGATTGAAGGGACCTCAAAGCTCCTCCAGCTCCAACCCCTGCCACGGGCAGGGACCCCTTCCACTGGAGCAGCTTGCTCCAAGCCCCTGTGTCCAACCTGGCCTTGAGCACTGCCAGGGATGGGGCAGCCACAGCTTCTCTGGGCACCCTGTGCCAGCGCCTCAGCACCCTCACAGGGAAGAGCCCCAGCGATGGGGCAGCATGCAGAGCATGGGGGGCAGCACTGGCTACAGCACCTGCACTGCCCCCTCTCCCCCTTTTCAGTCTGGGTCCCACATTTCCAATCAATCATAACCCCGATGGAGCCCATAGCACAGACAGGGCTTTTCCAAGGGCTTTTCTGAAGACAGCATTTAATGGTGCAAGAGCTACAAGCTAGAACTGGTGCCCAGCAGTTCAGCCACCCCTCCCTCAAAGTGCCTGGGAAGCAGGAAACCAAAGAGGAGGCGACAGCCAGGGAATTCTGGCTTTGCTGAGCAAACCATCACCTCCTTTCTCCCAGGGCTGACAAGAGGATCCCAGATCACTACAGGAGCTAAAAACCAACTTGGAACGTTGTAGGTTGAGGCCATCTTTGCGTGAAAGCCAGCAAAGGCAGTACTTGTGCTAGTCCTGTGCCAAAAGGAAGGTCTTCTCTCTGGCCAAAGCAGTCACTTGGGCATCCATCCCTCCCAGGAGCCCTGGCAGCTCCAGCTTCTGCCAAACTGACTGTCAAATGCTACAGGTTTGCAGGAAAAGCCTTGCTATGAAGGCAAAAGACTGATCCCCGGGCTCTGGCTGCAAGGTGGGGGTTTCCCTTGTTGCCAGCCAAGAGGATCTGTGCCGGGAAGCACACATCAATCCCAGGATGCTCAAAGAGGACAACATCCCACCAGCTCTCCCTGAACCACCAGTGACCTGTCTGGACACTACCAATGCAGTGCGAGCAGTTCCTCCACCTGGGATTGCCCATAGAGCTCCAAAGACACCTGGAGGGCCCAACGTGCTCCTCACCTCCATGGGGCCAGAGCGGCAGCATCGAGGAAGGGGAGGACCAGGCGCCCTGGCTGCTTCGCCTCCACTGCTGGAGGCAGCGAGGGGCAGGGTCCTTCTCAGGCGTCAGAGATGCACAGAGCCTCCACGGCACTGCTCAGGCCCTGGCTCACCCCCCCAACGGCCAGCAGGCAGTTGTGCAGCACGATGCTGGAGCAGGCGCAGCGCGGGGTGGGCATCGGGGGGAGGCTCTCCCACTTGTTCTTCTCGGGGTGGAAGGCTTCCGCCGACTCCAGGACCGTCGGTTGGTTCCCTGGAAGCACAGTGAGGGATGGGGTCAGCGGGAAGCATCCTCTGCGCTGGGACAGGGTCTGTGCTCCAGACACCATCCCCTATGGGGTCTGTTCTCCCTGCTCCCTCAGGCCAGCGTCTCTCCCCTCTGTAATGCTAACACACAACCCACATGCACTATTAAAGCATCCCCACCGTGCCCGCAGCCTCACCGAGTCCCCCAGCCACGACAACTCTGCCTTTCAGGTAGCCAGCCACGAAGTCTGCTCGCCTCTTCTTGAGGTAGGAGGAGCGCTCCATCTTCATCCAGCCACCTGGAAGGGATGGGACAGGGCATTACAGGAGCATCCACCCCGGGACACCATCGGCCTCTCTGACCCACGTGCTTGTGGAAGCGCTGTTTTGCTGCTGCACCCTGGGGCAATGAAACCGGGGAACGCAGGGCTCAGCTTCCTCACTGCCACGTCAGGATACCCAGGACTGTGGGGCTCTCCTCTGCTGCCCTGATGCTGGGCTCAAAGCACCAGCTCAAAGCAAGCAGGAGGAGACCGAACCCAGCGGATGAGCGCTCTGTGGTCTGCAGACACAGCAAAGCCCCCTCGTGTGCCACCGGTCCCGCTCCTTCGGGCAGGATGGATGCGGGACAGCGCCCACCTTGCTCCATGTCAAACATGTCCACGGTCCTCATGAACTTGGGCTGCCGGTAGAGCCGGCCCTGGCGCAGGCCCCCGAGGCTGAAGAGTTTGTCTTCAGTGGGCACGAAGCTGGAGAAGGCCCTTTTGTTGGGGATGTTGGGAAACTTGGTCCACGACCGGGTCTCGGTGTCAAAGACCTCGAAGGCATTGATGGCGTACTTGGACTGCCTTCCACCTGCGGGACAGGGAGAGGGAAGGCTCAGCTTGGCTGACAGCACCGAGGCAGCAGCAGCAGGAACCAGAGGGGCCTCCTGGGACAGGCAGAGAGCAAGAGAGCTGCTGAAACGGGACCCATTCACAGCTCGGATGCCTCTGAAGGCAGAGCCTGGGCTTGCTCCTGGCCCCACAGGGTGTTTGCTAGCAGCAAAGTGCAAAATACATCAGAGTCCTTCTGGTAGCCCCTAAGGAGAGGCAGGGGCGTGCAGGCTTGGAGCAATCAGGGCTTGTGCATCCTGATCCTGAGCCATGAGCAAACAGCAGCGGTCCCTGCCTTGGCTTCCCTTTCTAATGAACACCCCCGGCACAGGATGCCCAAAGAAGGGGTAAATGCCCCATCCCTGCAGTGCTCAAGGCCAGGCTGCACAGCCTTGGGTGACAAGGTCTGCTGTGAGGTGTCCCTGCCCGTGGCAGGGGTTGGCACTGGATGATTCAAGCTCCTTTCCAACCCAGACCATTCTATGGTCATCCCCTGCGAAAGGCTTCGTCTGACATTGCCCACCTATAGCAGCCTCCAAAGCAGCTACAAAGGCAGAGCCTCTGTGAAGCTGGGGGATGCTTGGCTGATATATAATGTATAGAAGCATTTTAACACCTTGGTTGAGCCCAAGGGCTCCTGGTGCAGCTGCAGGACTGAGAATGGAGCAGAGACCAACTGCACCTTTGGCTGCCAGCACCCATGGACGGTGGGACAGGAGAGGGCCCTCACGCAGCACCGTGAGTCTCAGCGTGCTCAGGGGTGCTCGCTGTGGAGCTGTGAACCCAAACCCAGCACCAGCCCCTCCACCAGCAAAGCTCGGGGGATCTGGAAGCACAAGAGAGGAGGCAGAGATGGAGGAGAACGTGCCCAAAGGCCCAGAGCAGCGGAGCCGCTCGCTGAGGAGGAGGAGGAGGAGGAGGGGAGGCAGGACTGCTCCTTACCCAGCACGTAGATCTTGGTGCCTCGCAGGAAGGAGGTGGCAGCGTACCTGGGTGTGGGCATGGCCGCCAGGGACACCCAGATGTCCTTCAGCATGTCATAGTGCTGCAGGTAGTTGTGTGCCCGCAGGTCGGATCCCATCCCGCCGGCTGCATAGACTCTGTAGTCTGGGCAGGGCCGAGAAGTAAAGAGAAGCCCACAGAGTTATTACAGGGAAGCATCAGAAATACCCCCCTGACACAGAACTGGTCGCTCCTTGGAACCCCAGCCTGGTTTGGGTTGAAGGGACCTCAAAGCTCCTTCAGCTCCAACCCCTGCCACGGGCAGGGACCCCTTCCACTGGAGCAGCTTGCTCCAAGCCCCTGTGGCCAACCTGGCCTTGAGCACTGCCAGGGATGGGGCAGCCACAACCGAGCTCCCAGCCCTGGGGCACAGGAGGATGATGCTGGTCCTGCAGCAACGTGGATGCTCTTCCCCAACCCCACTCCCTCATCCAGGGCTGCTGCTCCCATGCTGCTCCCCTGCTTCGCCCCAGCAAGCTCTGGCACAGGAGGCAGCTCTGCAGGCTGGGACAGGAGGCTCGGAGCCAAGGCACTGAGGCTCCTTGTTCCCCATCAGCTCCATCCGCCAGTGGCAAACCCGGCTCTCCAGATCAACCCCTATCCGCACAGCATCATCATCTCCTCCAACAAGCATCTCATGCTGCAGACAAGATGCAGGAGAGCAGTGAGAGCAGCCTTGGCCTTGCAGCTCTAAAAGCAGAGAGCAGCCTGCACGCTGCAAGGATGTGTGCAGCTCTCTCTGCTCCTGGCCTCTCACAGCACATTGACCCTGCTCCATCGGTCAGGCAAGCTTATACCCAGAGAGGAATCCATCTCCAGGATGGTAAATATTATCTTTAAGCATTCCGTGACGGGAGCTTTTAAACCCACTTAAGCAGAGAAGCCAAGCAGCTCTCCAAGATGCTCCCTGCAGATTAGAGCCCTAATCCCAGGCAGGGTGGGAAGCTCCCTGAGCCCAGCTCCAGGCTCAAAGCAGGGCAGAGCGTGCTAAAGGAAACCCACATCCACATCTCTGCTCTGCAATGGAATGAATGGGACAGGCTGGTAAGGCAGAGCCCGGCAGGGATGTAACCAGCCCCACTTGAGGCAGGAGCTGAGCCACAAGGGCAGCCACTTCCCCTCCTTCCACAGCTTGAGCCCACGTGAAGCTGACTCTCTCCTGGCTGGTTCTGGGTTTGGACCAGAGCTGTCTCTCTTCTGAGAGCTGGTCTGTGGCTCACATCCACCCAGCAGCATCATTCCTGCTCTCCCAGCACCTGCAGCACTCAAGCTGCAGCAAGCAAGAAAGCTTTAGTGCCTGCTGCACCAACCGATGGGACCCCTTCTCCATCCCACCACCCACAGGATCCCTGCCTGGCCAGGAAGGACGCAGCAGGAACCGGGATGCTCCTTGCCTTTTGCCGTCACAGAGATGCCCATGGCCGCCTCCCTCAGCGAGTTCCTCTTCTTCCACTTGCCCTCATCCGTGTTGTACATCTCCACTATCTTCACCGGCAGCTGATTCACTCCCACCCCTCCGATCACCATGATCCTCTTGCCCAAGGTGGCCACGGCCACCCCAGCCCTGGCCGTGGGCATGGGGGGCAGCGATGTCCACTGGTCAGCCTCTGGGGAGTAGACCTCGAAGCAGTCCATGGGGACCCCGTTGTCATCGCAGCCCCCGATGGCAAACACTTGCCCCCCGGCTTCCACCAGCGTGGAGTAGACCCTGCGGCTCGGGAGCGGGGCCAGGGTTTTCCATTGGAAGTCTTTGCTGTTAGCGAGCTCCATGGTGGCTGGGGGGGACACAGAGCATCGGTGCCTGCCCAAGGGATGGGGCTGCCTATGCTGTGGAACAGCAGGGGAAGCAATGGAGAAACACGAGGTGCAAACAGCGACTGGGGCAGGAGCATCCCTGCCTGCAGCCGCCGGTGCCTTCTGCCACCCCCAACACACAGCAGCAGCCGCCGGTACCTTTCATTGTGTCCCCATGAACCCTGCAGCTCCGGATCTGCTTCAGAAGCTTCTGCAGGGACTGGGCCTAGGATGAAACAAAACAAAGGATGGGGATAACGAGGAAAAGGCAGGAGAGGCTGGAGCCGGTTCCTGAGCATCCCCACCCCAGGCAGCGCTCCCAGTGAGGGGGCTGCAGGTGTCTGCTCACTTCCCCTCCTGCTGGGGACCTTTCCCTTACACCCTCCCTCTCTGCCCTCGTTATTCCCCCTAACCCCCGTGCCCATCCTGGGGGGAAGCCGCCCCAGCAAACCCTGCCTGGGGAAGGCAAGAGCCGGCCCTCGTGTCTGCAGCCCAAGCACGGAGCTGGAAGGGACCAGAGCAGCGCAGGGAGGGGAGGCAGAGGCTCTGCTGGGAGCCCACGGTGTCCCCTTCACCTCCTCTCAGGAGCACGCAGAGGAGGTTCATTAGGGCAGGAGGACAGAGAGAGGGCAGACAGACAGGAACAAAGGCAGCGGCTTGCTGGCTCGCCCAGCACCCAATGGGATGTGGTTTGCACTGAGCATCTCCACCTTCACTGTGTAACTCGGTGCCCTTCAAACCAAGTGGGGTTCATTCCACCCTGGCAGAGGCAGCAGCCTCTCCAGCAGGGGATGTTTGACACAGGACTGCAGGACAGAGCCAGCCATGCCATCAGGAGCCCCAAAGGCAGCGGGCTCCTGTGTGAGCGCAGCCCTGGGCTAAGACAGCATCGCCCCCCCTTCTCCCCATGCAGACCCCTTGGGGTGGGCTCTGCAAGACTTCCTGAGCCAGGAACAGGCCTTGTCCGCCCCCCCCCCAGCACCCCTTGCCCTGCCACAGCCCTGCAGCTCCCCGAGCCCTGACAGCCGGAGCAGGCACCGCCTGTAGCTTAGCAACAGCCACCTACAGCCTCCTGCCATCACCCGTCACACTTGGGATGATCCCAGCGGGAATCCTGCTGCTGTCACAGACCAGAGCACAGAGCAATGGGGCAGGGGTGCATACACACACAGAGGGGCTGGTGTACCCCAGACTCACCCTGTGTGCAGCGCACTGGGGGTGCCTGTTGGGTTTATCAGGTAAGCAGGGAGACAGAGGCATCCCTCAGAGCAGGATGGTTGCTGTTATCTCAGGTACAAAACATCACCCCCCCAGACTCATCTCTTCCCCGGGGCTCAGCCTGCAGGGCCCATCCGAAGGGGACATCATTTTCCACGGTCACGTTAGCTCCTACATCTCCTCTGCCAGTGTGATGAGAGGAGGGCGATGGAAAAGCATCACTGAAACAGGTCTCAGGCCACTGGGCTGGGATCCATCAAACCCATTTCCCACATGAGTGCGAGCTGGCACCAAACCCGACCCATCTGAGCAGGGCTTTTTATTGCCATTCATTCTCCCAACTAGTCAGCTGAACACCATTTACTGCATGGAGAAGGTGGTTCATAAATACCACCTCCATGGGCTGCATCCCCCAGCAGCAGGCACATGCGCACAGCACAGAGGAACACAAAGCAATGCTAAGGAGGAGGAGCAAGGGGCAGACAATGGCTCAGGTCACCAGCTGCCCGTCTCCTCTCAATCCCTTCTCATGTGATGCGCATCACTGCCGGCAGCTGGATCCGCTCGGGGAGCTTGGGCAGCTCAAGCGGCTCTGGAGCAGGGCTCTCATGGATCACTGCTGCTCTTGCAGGTGGGTTCTCATGCATGACCACAGGCACAGCCACAGATGAGACGGGCAGAGCTGGCTCCTGCTTCCAGACACCAGAGGGTTCATCCTCCTGCCCTTCCTTCTCCAGCTGGAACGTGCAGCCCTGGGATGAGACCCCGTCAAGCATCAGTGACAGAGGCAGAGCTCGCTGCTGGTGCCAGTGTCTCTGCTGTCACTACGGTTACCCAAAGCTCAAGCAGAACTGTCTCAAATGGCCTGGAAGCGTCTGCTTTGAGCACAGCAGCTCACAGCAGTGACTCGGAGCACTTGGAGAGGGCTGCGGTGTTTCTGTGGGTCCTTCATGGGAGCAGGCAGAGCCCAGACCTGCCCATGCAGCCCAGTGTGGTCCCAGAGAGCAGAACCAGCAGGACCCACCCTCAGCAGCAGCAGTGCAGAGCTCTGCCCCAGTCCAGCTGCACACATAACTCGCTATTCTTGGCTTCCACGCTGGTTAAAGACAATGAAACCAGCGTGAAGCCCTCTACGCACGCACTTGGTTTCCCTCCCCTTCAGCATCACCTGAATCCCACTGGGAAGCGATACTGCAGGAGCCAGGAGCTGCCCAAGCACCCCCTTCCCTGCAGCTCCTCCCAGCCAGAGGGAATCATCACTTCATTATCCCAAACACTCTGGGAGCATTAACAGTTTTCCTTCCTTAAATGGCCACATTAAACTCAAACTGAATGGTAATTGCTTCTCTATCAGAGCTGGGCCCCTCCAGGGCACGGAAACCCCAGCTGTAAGGGCTCAGCACAGCTCAGCACCCCCAAAAGGTCTTTGCCAAGCGGCTGTGGAGCATTGATGACCTGCAGTGATTTGTGATGTATAAGAGATGCACTGGTGGGTATTAGAGTGCTCTATGGGCTGAACTGGGGAGAGCGATCTCAGTGCTGGTCACTGCTTTCCCTTTCCTTCCTATCTCACCCCACAGAGGTTGTGTGATTCCAGGTCTGGAATTCCCTCAGGAGCCAGCACACAACCCATCCGGAGCAGAATCCTGCCCCCTCCAGCCATCAGGGTGTCATTTACGCTCTACCCTAAAGAATGCGTTGCAATGAGCACAGTGAGGAGGGATCCCGTTGACACCTCTCCAGATGGAAGCCAATGCAAAAAGGCCCCAGAAGATGAAAAGCCACAGAGATATTCCCAAATGTTCCATGCTTAATGCTCAGACTGAGGATATGCACCCCGAGACATCACCATCCACCCACAGCCACACTCATACACCCTCCACCCAGGGAGGACCTCAGGCCATTTTATCCAACACGTATGAAACTGTGCATGCTACAAACAGAAAGAGACCCTTAAATTCTCCCTCAGACCGAGGCAGATCCAACCCCATACAAACTGATGCTGTCCCGCTTGCTCTGAAGAGCCTCCAGCACTCACAGAACCGCCTCAAACCCTCACTCAGGCACCGTGCCCACATCAGGGCCACCCCGAGGATCCAGGAGACCACAGCACTTCCTCCTGGCATCTCATCCCAAGTCCACCTGGGCCACAAGAGCTCACCCTCAGCTTTGCTCACTCGAGGTTTCCACCCGCGGGTCAGACCCAGGGCGCCCATCACATCCCCATCAGGAGCTGTGCTCCAGACATCACCGCATCACCTGCCAAGCGTCCCCCTGGTCCTCGCTGTCAGCAGGAGCAGGTTAAAGCAGACCCAGACGCCAGCCTGCTAAAGAAACCGCTGCTTTCAGAGGCAAAGCCCTTGCACTCACCTGAGCATCAGGGTCAGATGAGCACGGGGCAGCCCGGCCGTGTGGAGCCCCCCCGCAGCACAGGGGCTGCAGGGCTGAGCTGAGAGCAGGCTGCCACCCAGGCAGCAGGCAGCAGCGGCTCCCAGTGCTCCAGGCGTCACAGGAGAGGCAGGAACAGGGACAACAATGTGCTGGAAATAGCACACAAACCCCGAGATGAAATCACAGCTCCCGCTCCTCGGCACCGGCAGGAACCAGCAGCTCCAGCTCAGCTCTGCCCTGGCTGCCTGCACTCCCTCAAGTAAGGAGATGACACAGCACAGACAAAGGCAGCTGGAAAGAGGCTCAGTGCAGGGGACGTGTGTCTGCCCCGAGGAGCATCCATGCTACAAGGCCAGGAGCAGGGACACAAAGAGGAGATCCCCAGGAGCCAAGGAGCCCAGCTCCCCCCTGCCTGCTCCTGGTTCTCTTCCCAGTACAATTCCAGGTCTCAGCAGCACTCTGGTGCTTTCCTGACTTCCAGGCGCAGAATCCAATGCAATCCGGAGAATGGAAGGAACCATCAATCCCTGTGGCTCAGCTCTTCTGCTCCCAGTGTGGCCCCAGCCCACTCAACACTCATCACTTGCTTCAAGGGGCAGAGATGGAGGTGGTGAGAGGTGCCAGGTATGGGATGCTGCCACACAGCCCCAATACACCTGGCATAGGCAGGGACCTTGGTCCTGCCTGGGTACCACGTGCCATATTGGCTAAAATCAGGGGTTTCACCCAAACATAAAGGACAAGTGATGAGAAAGGACAGGAAACGGGGACAATGCTCTTTGTGCTGCCTTCAGCTTCACTGGAAGCTGGCAGGACACGAGGCACCTCGGATAACACAGCTTCCAATGTGGGAGCAGCACCTAAACCTCCCCATTAATCACTGCGACTGAAGTGAGCTGGTTTCCCTCCTCGAAGCACACAGATGTCACCTTTGCAGTGCAGGATAAACACCAGCAGGGTGTGAAGAGGCCCTGAGGGCTCAGGTACCAACCGCTGCTGTAAAGACACAGCCAAACAGGACACTGGGGAGGGCACCGCTTCCTGGAAGCTCCAAGCCCACGTTTCTCCCTGCTCAGCACCCAGAGGAGACCCCTAAACCCCTCCCCACCAAGCCACAGGCACCCTTTCTGCAGGCTTTGCCCCCTCCACATCTGCAGCACCACAGCTGGGCTGCCGAAAGCCTCCAACTTTTAAGCAGAAAAGGCTTTAAAGAAACCCCCTGAGCCGCAGGGGCTCCTTTGCTGCTCCCTGCTCACACCCCGGCAGCTGAGGCTTTAAACAGAACAGGAATGAAACGCTGAGCCCGGCATTTCTGACCTCCCCTCGCACTGAATCGAGTTTCCTTGCCATAGTAACAGCTCCCCCGAACAACAACAACAAAATCCGCTGGTTCCTCTGCAAATACCCACTTGGCAAGAAGAGAGAGGCAGAAGGGAAGAGCAAAAGCACAAATGCATCGTGGCAAGCAAAGGAGAAGCAGCAGCTCACAAGCAGCTCCTTCTACTCCTGTTCCCCAGCATCTCCCTTTGCAGACATAAGTAGGTGCAGTTTGAAGGTGAAGAGGCTGTGACCGAGCTGACCCCCCCCCTCCAGCTTCACTCCTGCCCCCCAACACCAGTCCCTTGGGATCATTTCCATGCCAAATGCAATTCCCAGGGGTTGCTAATACAGAAAGGCAGCAAGGTCGTGGAAGGAAATATTCCACAGCAGTTGTGCATCAGGAGGGTGCCAGGAGCTTTAGCAGGCTCCAGGACAGCAAGGAAAGCTGCTTAATCTACAGAACATCCCAGCCCATCCCTCCTCCTGGATGGGCTGAAGAATCAGCAGAACAAGATGCACATCCCAGTTTGTCTCCAGGGAGAGAGCTGTAATTCCATCAAGAGGAAAGATAACCCACCTGCAAGACTAAGGATGCCCCGTCCCTGGTCCAGCTCCCAGCAGCATCCTGCATCTCCTCCCCTTGCCCCAGCTGCTGCCGCTGCTCTCCCCACAAGCAGCTTCTCTTTAGCACAGGTCAAATGCAGAAGGTGCTTTTCAAGCCCTGCAGCCTCACTGGTGACGTTCATAAAGCTCTTGTTACTCTGTGCTTAGGCTGCATCCCTCCGCAGGGAATGGAAAGAGCCTGGGTCAGACCTCAGCTGGGGGCAGCGCAAGGCAAACACCATCGCTGCTGAGACAGGGCCTGGCCTGGGAGAAGGGCTGAAAATGTGGGATTTGGGACTATGGGGCTGGGAGGAGAGCCCCCTCCTTAACCCACTTTTAGCACAGTCTCAAAGCTTTGTTGCTGGTTGTTTATTAAAAGCCTGGCCTGGCAGTGGGAGAAAGCAGCTCCTGCTTTAAAGCATCCCACTCCCTTCCCCATCACCCACTGACCTCCAGCAGAAACTCCCTCCCTCCTGCCAGGAGCTTGGGAAGCACAGGGATGTACTCACAGCGCTGTGTCCAGGTGGAGCATGGCTCTGGTTACAGATGCTCTTCAATGCCCGAATCCTCAGTGCCTGTAGAGCATCCTCCTCCTCCTCCCTTCCCGCGCTGGTGGCAGGGATGCGAGCAGCGCCGGGAGCAGCCGGGGCTGGGATTGCTGTGTGGGAGGGATGCAAGGGAAGAAAGGAATCAGCATCAATCCAGCAGCCCTGATCCTCACCCTCCCGAGATGCAGGACAATGAACGGGGAGCGCGTTTCCCCATCTGCTCTCCCTGCTCTCAGCGCTGCAGCCGGGCTGTGCGTGCCTGTGTGTACCCGCTGCATCACCAGCCCCAGAGTTTAAGCCTTTTATGGCTCCCTGTGCTCGCACAGGGTGTTCTGTAACAGCAGCTCTCCCTCAGCCCGCCCTCCCCGCCTGCGAGCACACAGCTCCAAGGCAAAGGACGGAGATGGGTGAAGGGAGGGGAGCAAGAAAAGCAGGAGCTGCCTTCAAGAGTAGCCCTGGGGCTGTCCCAGTGGTGGCTGGGACTGGGGGACCCCATGCTGCACGGATGTAGGACCCTTTGGATCCCTGTTCCCATCCTAAGAGTCACCCCAGGCTTTCCCTTCCCTGCTCCTCCTCGAAGCGCTGCAGAATAACTTTGCAGAACAAATCACTTCTAAGCCAAAGCCGAGAGAGCGATCCTCTCACCGCACCTTCCATGGAGCTTCACAGCGCCTCCCCAGAGATGCGCTTGCACTGGAGCCCTGCAGACATCCCCAGTGCTTCAGGAAGTGCCCGAGCTCTGGGAGCCCCCAACACCCTCAGGGATCCCTGCTCCTTTCAGCGCTGCTCAGCTCTTCCCACCAGCCCAGACCCCCAGCTCGGGCCATGGCTGGTACCCGCGCAGCAGCATCGAGAACCCAACAGCCCCTGAACCTGCATCTTCCAGAGTCCATTTCCATGTCCTGGTCCCCTTCCCTGAACCAGGGACAGGCTCCAGAGGTGCTCAGAGGAGTTTCCAGGTTGAGCCCTGACAGAGCCCCTCGGTGCTGACCCCAGGCTCAGCCCTGTACTGATGCAGACTGGCTTTACCCCTCCCCATCGCTCATAGTTGAGATAGGGAACTATTTGAAAGCAGCTCTGGCCGTGAAGGAAGAGAAATGAGGAAATCAACAAGAAGTGGAGTCAAATGACTCCCCATAAAGCACATTCTCATCCCCTGGCTGCTATTTAAATCTCCTCTTAGCTTTCCAGTGGGAGGATTCAATTTGCATTTAAATAAAAACCTCAAGCAGGGGGGCAATCCAACCCAACCTGAAGATGTTCATTACAAAGACATTCACTTAAGAGCTTCAGAAAGACCCCATCAGGACGGATTCTAACAGGGGGCTGTGAGCACCGGGGCATTATCTGACACTTGCCATTGGGAAGCTGTTGTTATTTACCAGAGCCGTCGCAGCTCTGAATAAAGGCTTCCATGAGCTCCCTGCTTACAACCAGGGTAAATCACAGGAGGTCGTCTCAGAACGCTGGTTCCTGGGGAAGGAAAGGGGCGGCTGCAGGACAGGGTTGGCAGCTCCTGTCCATCCCCACATCAAACCATGGAGCTCCCGTGATGGGCACCATAGAATGGTTTGGGTTGGAAAGGACCTCACAGCTCATGCAGTTCCAAGGCCCTGCCATGGGCAGGGACACCTCACACTGGAGCAGCTCAACGCTGCCTGGTACTTGGGTGACCTTTATGGGTAAAAAGGAAGCAGAAGCCTCGATACCCCTCATCCTCACAGTCCTGCACATCGATGCTGATAACTTATTAAATACTCTTCCATTTTCATAAGTGTCTAATTCACCCATTGAAAACCAACCAAGGTACCTCCAAACCCCCCTGCATCCCTTCCTAGCTCAGCACAGGCAGCGTCACCTTCCCACGAGGAGCAGTCTGCACCACGTCAACACCTGCAGGAGACAGCAGAAATGGAAGATGAAGGTGAAAAGGGCGAGTTTAACTGGGACAACAGCAGTGAGACTGGGACAGCAGCTCGGCCATGGAGCCCCAGCCACTGCCTGAGCAGTGCATGGGTCAGGCTGCAAAGTAACTGGGAAGGAGGGAGCTTGTGCAGTGCCCTATAGAGACCAAACAAAGGCAGCGTTGGCTTTGCTCAGCAGATGGTGTTTGAGCAGTGGGAATGGCACAGGACCGGAATACCTTGGAAGAGAAGGAAGCCTGAGGGACACCCAGATTTGTGCTCAAAAGGAAGAACTTTTCCAGGCTGCTTGGAAATTATAAAGGTGGCACTTAAAGAATAACGTTAGTGCTGGAAACCTGTAGCAGCTTCCTGCAGTTCCACATCTGTTTCCATGGGAACAGCAGGAGAGGTGCAGGAATTCCTGCAAATGCCACAAGCCAAACGTGGGGAATAAACATCTTCCAGCAGCAGGGTAAGGGGCAACAAGCACAGACTGAAACACAGCAAGTTCCATCCGAGTATGGGGAAGAGCTTCTTTAAGGGTGGCAAAACACTGGAACAGGCTGCCCAGGGATGGGGGATGCTCTGGAGACATTGAACCTGCTTTAGCAGGGGGTTGGACTGGATGCGCTCCAGACATCCCTTCCAGTCCCAACTGTTCTGTGTGATTCTGGGATTTCATTTCCCTCCTTCTTACCTGCACCCGTTCAGGTTGAGCCAACCGAATCCAATGAGCACTCAGCCAAGTGCATGGGGAAGGCATGTTGAATTGCAGTGAGCAGGCCCCAAGCTAAGAAAATAGGGAGAAAGGATTAAAAAGCACAGTCAAGCTTTTAAGTAAAAGGCTTTTCCTTTAGAAGAGCTCAGGATCATGTAGATAAAGGGGGGGAAACCCTACAAGAGGACCAAGACCTGCCCATGCATCTCCGTTCCAAGAGAGGGTCGAGCACACAGCATCCCTGGCACTGCTGGTGATGGAAGAGAGCAGCGCAGGGGAAGCAGAGCCAGCCCCTGGGCCTCTCCCCTGTCATCCCTCGCAGAGACTCGGCAATCTGACAGTTCATTAAGCAGTTAATTCATTAATTCTCCCTCCTGCAGGGCCCGGAGCTGGTTACAGCCCAGACAGAGACCGTAATGTGCGGAGACAGGAGCCAAGAGCTTCAGGAGCTCTCGGGCAGCGTTTAACCCAGGGGGAGAAGTGCACCAGCTGTGTCTGCCCACTTGATGGGCACAGAGAGACGTCAGCTCGGGACACAGGGGCACTTTGAAGAGACAGCTGCTGGGGAATATGAAAACCCAACCAAAAGCCAAGCCCCCTTCACACACAGTAACGCTCCCATCAGCTACAGCGAGCAGAACGGCAGCAGCGGCATGGAAGAGCTTTAGGCTGTGTGACAGGGAGGGGATGGATGCATGTGGCTTTGCAGGCTTCTAGAGCAGCATGGTTACACACAAAGAGCTGTTTGGGGGGTTCATGCACGATACAGCAGGGTTACCACAACATGGGGACAAGGCAGAGGTCTGCGGGCATCCCAGGCTGCATCCCTTCAGTGTTCACAAAGAGAGGGTCTCTTACGGTGGAAGATCGCATCCTCCTTCCCGACCGGTCCAACAGGAGTCAACACATTCCAGTGCAGGACCCAGGGTGCTTTGGGTTCTCCATAGACTGTGTCCAGCCCTGAGGAGGAGCCGATGCAGGAGCAGGGACCTGGAACGGCGCCGTTTTGCTCTCTGGTCTTCAAAGGAGGCGAGGGTTGATCATTCCCAGGGCAGGCAGGGATAAGAGCCAAGGGCAGCCTGCGTGGAGAAAGGGTTTGAAAGGGGCATTGGGAAAAACACCTCAGTGCAGCTTTGTGGGGTTTGTAAGTAAGCAACGATGAGATTGTGGTCAATTAACCCTCGGTCTGTCCAAAACCTTTCCCTTGAACCGCAGACAACACTGGGGTTCTTCGCTTGTCTCAGGGGTGAGTGCTGGAGCATCCCGTGCTTTACAAAGACCACTCTGAAAGTGACCCATGTCACAAGCCAGATGCTTTGTTTCAAAGGCTGCCACAATGAAACGGGTCCGTTCCTCAGCATTTTCACCTTTGTTTTGCTGATCCCCAAAGCTAAGTTCATGGGCAAACATTAATCTGTTCACAACGGCCTTTTGCTCAGTTCCCCCTGGATTAAGGAGTGTTCTTGGCTTCCAGTCCTTTGTGACAAGCCATCAAACCCCCTCCATGTGTCCATCCACAGCAATTCATTTCCAGCTTGGCTGGACCGTGACAGCCTGGCAGGCACCTCTGGCCACCTTCTCCTTTCTACATTCCCTTCAATCCTTATAGCTTGGCTGCAAAATTGCTTCTGCACCTGCAGGATCTTAAGCATGGTTGGATGGAGCTAAAGGTCAGAAGAGCCAAATGATCCAGCAAAACCATCCCTAGGAAGAGCAAGGCAGACGCAGAAGGAAGAGGATGTCTCACCCATGTCTTCTGTAGCTTCCACTCTCCAGCCCCAGCTGCTGCGCATCCTGGGGTGTCTCTGGGAATAGAGGGATGTGCTGCAGGGAAGTTGATCCTAACTGACCTCACTGCTCCAGCACTTCTCCTGGTCCCTATTTAGCACCCATGTTGATGCCATTACTCTCCCACAGCTGTTCCTGCCAAGCACAGATCCCTGCTGACAGGACTCTGGAGAAGGCTGCAGTGCATACAAGCAGAGGCACAGGAGGCAGCTCCTCACAGGGACCTGGGGATGGTGCTGGGGGCCCGCCTGCACCTGAGGCACCGGGGTCGGTGCTCAGCGGGAGGAGGTGGGTGCTGATGGATGTCAGTTTGTCATTCATCCTACCCACACCCGCAAGGGAGCTTCCCCAAGCAGGGTAAGAGGAGCTGGAGGCAAAGAGAAGTGAGGCAGCTCAGGCACCAAGAGGAGAGGCAGTGCAGAAGAGCAGCCAGAACAAGCGTGTTCTCTGCTGGTACCCAAAGCCATTGCTCTTCTGCAGGTATCAGGAAAACCCCGAGCCCCCATCTCCTTTGGGAAGTACTTGAAATCACCAAGAGACCAGGTTAAAATAAAGGCTGGTTACCTGCAGTCTACTCTGCCAACATGGATGCCTCTGGAACACCAACTGCTATTCAGTAGATCATTGTGCTCTTGTCCATCATTTTCTCATCCTGCTGGAAAAAGAAATCCCCTTTAAACTCATTTAGTGCATCCGTCAGTGAGTAATGCACAATAAACAGTAGTTTGCCTCTGGACACATCATCTAATCACAGCAGCTCAAACTCATCTGCATGTGAGGAAAACAGTGCTATAATCAACATCCCTGGTACAGCGCTTCAAGGCCTCGCTCAACACTGGAGTCCCTTTGTGCTGGGTGCCACCAAGAGGCAGGAATCTTGGGCCAAAGAGGCTGATGACCATTCCCTGCAGAGATTTAGCATCATGCAACAAGGCCCATTTCCAGGGCTGGAAACTAAATACTAGACTTTTCAACAGCTTACATTGCGCATCACACAGGTAAGTGCTTGGGCTAAAAGATCCACTCGGAACTGCCTGTTACGAGATGATCCCTGGCTGTATTTTAAATGTTAAGTGGAATTTATCCCACAGCTACATCAAAAAGTTCTCCCAGATCATTCTCTTCAAAAGAGAGCACCACCTCCTTTATGGTCACCACCTCCCTTACGGTCACCACCTCCTTTATGGTCACCACCTCCCTTACGGTCACCACCGCCCTTACGGTCACCACCTCCAGGTTAGAGCCATGCTGAGAAGGAAGTGGAATGCCTTGAGGGAACCCTGCCAGAATTCCTCTGGAATGAGCAAGCTCCTTTGCTCAGGAGCACAGCAAAGTGCATGTTAGATAAATACAGATAAGATGGAAGATCTCTAAGCTTAATCTTAAGAGACCAAGGTCAGTGCTTCTGTACTGCTGTATTAGCAAGTCAAATGAGATGCCATAACTCGTGGCCTCGTTTGGATGGGGCAGCAGTCTGAGGGTTGTGCCTTGGAGGTGTTCTGTCCCCAGAGGAGTGCAGGGAGGTGCCTACAGTAAGTTAATGCCTGGTACCTTTACTTTACCCTGCGGAAAGCCTTGGGAGTGCTGCGGGCTCTGCTGCCAGCTGGTGCCTGCATCGGGTCCCTCAGCAACTCATCCCCTGGCAATGTCTGTGCTACCTGTTCATGTTAGGACAGAGCCGTTAGTGCAGGCTGCGGGCAGGTAATGAACCCAAAGGCCTCAATGCCACAGGACACAGCCCACGTCCTCCTTACTCACACTGATTTAACACCAAGATGCTTCGCCTGTGATGAGACCACACACACAGGGACAAAGCAAAGCTGATTTAAAGGCATGGAACCGACAGCCTCATACGATTTACATTCAGGAAGTGAGGACTAAAGCAATCCTCAAGACAGCTTTTACTTTACCACTCATTAGTCATCTGATGTGTACCCTATTCTTTATCAATCCTTTATCTAATTCTTTTCTATTTAAAACCCTAATGAGAGGTGGCCCATCATGAAGTGGCACCAATTTTCATTTGTTAGCTCCTATCTCACAGTTATCCTTATGAAGATATTGAAAGCTACCACATCAGCTTAAGAGATGGAGTACAAGGAAGCGGTTTAGTTCTGTTGCCACAAATTAACCTGGCTTCCTTTAATAGTCATTGCTAGAAAGGCAGAATGCAGACAGCAAACAGTGCTGGAAGCCCCACTGAAGTTCACTTCACATGGGATTGCCAGCTGCAAAGACATAACAAAATGAATGTGGAACAAGTACACATACTTCCCTCTATTTCCTCCTTATTATCTTGATTAACCTGAATCAGGCAACAGAAGCTTCATTCCATGCTCAGTCATTTGAAGGTGTGAAGGCAACGAAAGAGAGGAGCCTGATGGACTGAGGACACCCCAATGACCTTCCCTGTGGCATTAAAGGGCAATGTGTTCTCTGATAGCAGCTCCTCAGTGAAGCAGCCAGAGAAGAGCTCTGAGAGGCACAGCTTCTCACTCCCCTTCCAAAAGAGAGCTCAAGCAACTGGAGGCAGGTCACAGAAGGATGCTGTAATTAACTGATTAGAGGTAATTGCTGCATTTGTCAGGAGCTCATACAAAGCACGTCAGTTGATATCAACTCGCAATTTCCCTCAGTTAGCTGTAGAGACATCAAATATTCATGTGTTAGCAGATCCCTTACTTCACTATGGCCAGAGGCGCAGGCTGCTGTCACTTTGAAGTCTGTTGTTCCAAAGGTTACTCCTGGAGCTCTGAGTGAGGAGAAAGGGAAAAACGTTCCTTAAAACACAGTGAATTCACCTGAACCTCCCACACCAGGCTGTGATGGGATTCCTGATACAGCTGCAGTGCATCAGTGATGGAGCTCCTCTTGTGCAGCCTCCGGTCACTCGGTGACCACAGAGGTGCTTTGGCAGGGTGCTGGTTTGCATCCACAGAGCACGGCTGCAGCATCACAGAGGGGCTGCAAACAAAGCCAGCGGTGAGCAGCCACGCTGGAGCCTGAGGACCCCACTCATGTGCTGGGGATCACCCACCAAACCCCCACAAACAGCGATGGATCCAGCCCAGGCAGCAAAGCACCTTTCCCTTTAACTCATTCCCAATCCCTGCACAAAGCAGCTGTGTTTGAACCAGCTCTGCCTTTGTGATGCCGGCTGCTGCACAGTCAGATTAGCCCCATGCACAGCTGGTGGCTCAGGGGGGTTCACAACGTGTCTGAACCCTGCAGGAGCCTGAAACTTCTCCCTTTTAAAGCAGCAACAAAACTCATCCCATTCAAGTCATCGCTGAAACAAAGCTGGATCCTCATTACAGGCTCCAGCAGAAACGGGAAGTTTGGCTTCATCTTTGAAGGGAACTTCAAAGGACATCACAAGAAAGAAAAGGTGGGGGCAGAGCAGCTTTGAGTGGAAGGAACTCCCCAAAAGGCCTTTGGAGATTAAACCCCAACATTCTACTCGAGTACAAACCCCTTTCAGCTCTGATTTTCCAGGTTAGGTGACCCCTACAATGGTCCCCCCACTTCATCCTCTCTGTTCTGCCTTTATCTGTTCAGCCACAGTGCATCTGCAACAGGGTTTTGTTTGCTTTCCACACAACTCCCTGCTGTAGCCTTCATTTAGTCAGTGCTTTCTGTGCTGAAGGTATTGCTCTGTCAGTCTGAAAGCAGCACACACATACAGACGGAGCACAGTCAAGTGATGCTGCCTGCCTGAAAAGGCAGATTGCCCGTGTGTATTTGCCATACCACGAAGGGAAAAGCTATGTCAAGTCCACAAATCAATGAGCAGCATTGTCAGGGCCCTGGGAACACAATGGGTGGGTTCCAGCGATGCTCCTGCACCACATTTCCATACATATGACACAGCCCCAATGGATCATTGCTAGCACAGAAACCCTGTGCACTGCTGCATGCAACAGCTGCTCCTCCATGCCTCGGTCTCTGGTGACCTGATTTTGATTATCACATTTGCCAGCTCCATGAGGGGGGGAAATCAACACCCGAGATCAGAGGCTGCTTGTTCTGAAGGGCAAAACTGCCTCGAGCTGCTCCTCTTCTGCCTCCCCTCAACAGGACGGAGCCTTCAGATCTGCTCTTTAATGTCTCCCTGGTTGGTTGCTCTTCCCTTTCTCTGCACTATTAAGTGAAGCAATTGGGGAAGGATAAAATGAGGTGACCTCAGCGACACTCCCATAGTCTTTGTTTCCATTGCTGTGTGGCAAGTGACAGGTACCTGTCTCACAGGCCATAAAACCCCTCACTGCTATAGACATCTATAGCTATAGACAAACATCTACAGCAAGCACTCAGGTGAAAGGGGGTTTGGAAAGAGGAGTCCGTGTTCACAGAGAGTCGAGGAACATAAAGATCACATAAGAGAACCTCTGAGTTCCCCACGTGTTGTTCTCTAACACAACAGTTAAACCTTACCCACCGCTGGGTGTTAGCAGCTACTCTGATGTAACCTCCAGTGGTGAAGTCAACTGGAAAGGAATTTCACTTTGATGTAGAAAAACCCTTCTGGAAGAGTGCAAGTTGGAAGCGTCCCAGGAGCTGAAAGAGAAAAATGAAATATCCAAGATTATCCAAGAAAAAACCCGATTCTCACCTTTTATGGGAGCAGAATGAGAAAGACAGCGGCAAGCATTGCTGGGACAAGCCCAAGTTAATGCATCATCAGACAGAAGTGACTAACGGGGCTTTGCCAGAGCCTGCCAGGGAAGAGAACAGCACCTTGGAGGCTTCTTTTAAATCATAATAATGATAATGATGATAATAATAATAATGATTCAACTATTTAATAGTAACAGACTGAGATTAGAGAAGATGCTCAGGTTCTAGGTGTTACCCTTTCAAGGGTTCCAGTCACTTCCATTAGGCCACCCCATCCCTCCCCACAGCACAGTTAGACACCAACCCAATTACACACCACATAGCAAACACATGGGAAGCATTTATTCAGGCTTCCAGAGGGAGGTTTGGATGCATCCTGCTGTCACCTTACAACTGGCTTTGGTACTGCCCATGCCAGGGAGCTCAGTGCTCGGGATCTGTGCTTCCAGATAGGAGGTTGTTTTTTGCCAGCCTTAATGAGAGTTGGAGCAGTGAAAGCAGGGCAGGGATTCAATTCCTCTTTCTTTTAGCCTGTTTTCTAACACAAAGGTAATCTTTGTGGCAGAAGCTCAAGGCATCATTCCTATGTGCTGTTGTGAAGCAGTGAGGCTCAAAAGAGAAGCTAGTTAAGACAAAAGGCATTTAATGGAAAGAGACCAGGACAGCAGGAGCCCATCAGCTGCTGAACAGGTTAAAGCAGTTAAAAGGAGTTAATGAGCACAGCTTTCTCCATCCTGCAGGTTAGATTTGGCCTCATCCTTCCTTCCAAAATAGCTTCAGGTGCACTCCCGACTCAAAGCTATTGCTGCTTCTGCTGCTGTAAAGGCAGGAGAAGGGCTCTGTGTGGAGCACCGTGTGCTGTGTTTCATTCCAAGTAATAGCTTAGCAAGAAGAAAGGCACCACTAACTTCCCACAGCACCACAGGAGACGAGCGTCAGCACAAGCTCCAGCTCCTGGTGGTTCCACGAGGTTCATCCTCTCCAGTCCTGTTGCCAAAGTTCCCTCTAAGGCTGCACAAGTGAAGACAAAAGCATTCCTAAAGCATTACTTACATCACTGAGATCCTGGCTGATGCCATCGCTCCCACCACACGGTTCCCCAGCATCCCCAGGACCAAACACCACTCAGTTCCCAAGCCCTTTGAGGTCACAGCTGCCTATGATCAGTGCACTGAGTGCTGCTGGTGCGGAGAGGCACAGGGGAAACCCAAATCCTGCAATTTGGCACTTCCAAACCCTCCAGAATCATGGAACCGTTTGTGCTGGAAGGGACCTTAAAGCTGATCCCGTTCCAACCCCTGCCACGGGCAGGGACAGCTTTCATTAGGTGAGAAGCTGCTTCCTTTATGTGGGGTGAAGCACAATCGTGCCCCAGGTCCATGAGCTCTGGGTACGGGTCCACAAGCCCCTTCGTTTGACTGCAGCACCCCGGGGCCACTGAGCATCGCATGCCACCCACAGCAAGAATTAACAGCCGAGGAGAGCCCATCCTCTTCTCACCCCATCCCTGCCGCTCCCCGCGGTACCCTCGAGGCCAGCCCCGGCTCTTTGTGCCCGCGCGCCGCGAAAAAGTGAACCCCGAAGGGAGCAGTGACCCCGACGTGATTCGAACACGCAGCCTTCTGATCTGGAGTCAGACGCGCTACCGTTGCGCCACGAGGTCTCGGCAGCCGCAGCTTCCGTGTGCCCACAAGAGCCGGCGTAGCGTTCCGCGCATGCGCGCACGGACGGCAGTGCCCGGTCTCGGTACTCGGTTCCGGTCCGGCGGAGAGAACCGCGGCTCCCCCCACCCCCGGCCCGCTTTGAAGCCGCGCCTGGGTCAGCCACGCCCCCATGGTCTAGCCACGCCCCATGGGCTGTACCACAGCGCTGGGAGGGGCTCACCCGCTCCCCCCCGCTGTGGGCTGTCCGGATTTAAAGGGCCAGGCCCCGACAGCGGCAGCCGCGTTCCATGCGCTGAGCCGGGGCGGGCCGCAGTGCTCAGCAGCAGCGCTGGCCGCACCCGGCAGCCAGGGGCCGGTGAAGGGGTTCAGGTGCTTTGTGCTGCCCGTTCCAGTGCGGCTCTGGTGAAGCGCGCACAGTTTCGGCTGCCTCTGTGGGTGCCACCTTTGTTTGTACCCGCGGCCACCTCGGGGCTTGGGACCTGACACCGCTCCCGTACCCATCACTGGGTTGTGTTCGGCACCCGCTCTGGGGTGACCCTGCAGCAGGGCTCGGTGGGAAGGCACAGGCTTGGGAAGCGATGGGACCTGCCCGTCTCCTGCCACAGCATCCCCAATCCCCCCTCCCTCCCCTCCTGCTCCCACCCGGCTCAGGACCACAAGCAGCACACAAGAAACCAAACCCATGTCTCTGAGGGGCATCATCGAGCCGGTTTATTGCAACAGCTCCATAGCTGCTCCCCTGCGTGCTGGGACAGGGAACGTGCTTGGCCCGAGCGCAGATGCACAGATGCACAAGTGACCCTCTGCAGCCCGCTGCTTCCATGCGCAGGGCCGCGGTGGTCCCAACAGCGACCAGCAGCAGACAGATCAATAGGCGAGTCTCTGGGTGCAAACCGCAGCCGTGATTTGCATCTATAATTTATAGGACAAACTTGTAAACGAGACCCGTGCCGGCAGAAGCCATCGGATCAGTGTTTACAGCTCCAGGGTACCCGGCAGGCATCAAAAGGACACGGTCTCCATCACCTCTGCTGGATTGCTGGTCCCAGAGGATACAGGGATGCTCCTGCATCCCCAGCATTGATACCCCCGAGGAGGGCAGCAGGAATGGGCTTTGGGAAGGGGAACATCCCGGGAGACGATGGTTTGAGGGAGCACTCCGGGGCAATGCTGCTCTGCCCCAGCTCCCATCCTGCTGCATTACCCGGGTTGCTTATTAGTGTGTACCGAATGATTCCCCGGATAAATGAGCCTTTCCATCTTTGGCTGCGAGTTTTGCAGCTACCCCAGAGTAAAGGCATTGCTGTGGGGCTGAGTTATGGCCCTAGTATTGCTCTTACCCTCATTGATCCCATTGCCAACCATGGGTAATTGGATTAGGGGTTCTCTTGAAGCAGGAAAGGAGGAAGCTCGTCATGTACCTAAAAAACCCTGATCTCCGAACGTCTGTAAGATCCATGCTCTAAAAATCCTTATGGATACCTGCTCTGGCATGGGAAATACTGGAGGAAGCAACGCCCTGTGCGTAGAGAGAGGTGCTTATTTACAGCTGCCACATTCAGTGTCTGTGCATGGGAGAGGACGCCCGCCCTGCTGGAGATGCTCACTTACCACAGGAGCCTGACGGGGTCTTCTCTCTGTCCAAAGCAGAGGAAAGTCATTTACTGGCATCGTGAAAACAGGCTAAAAATAGCCGGTTTCTATGGCTACTGGGGCTGGGAGACTCCTGAGGAACACGTCTGGGTAGGTCCCTCCGTGATGAAATCCAGACAGAGGGATGAAAGGAAAAGGACAATAAAGAGAGGTTTAATGCTTTGCTCCTCGTTCGGCAGCACGAGGGAGATGCTGCAGGGATGGTTCTGTGCTTCCCCTCTGCTTGGTGCTGCACGCTTCAGCAGGGCTCAATGGGGGCTCATTATGGGGGGAATTAGGCAGATTTAGTGGATGGAGCAAAGCCCCAGAGCAAACACTTTGAGTTGAAGCAGGGCTCTGTTGGCTCAGGGCTCCCTCAGCCTGTCCTCGCCTGCTTGTGCTTGTGGTTGATGCGCTTTTGCATAGGGATGGGGCTGAGCCACACTGAGGAGCAATCTGAGCGCTGGGGTCCAGTCCAGGCTCGTTCTGCAGAGCTGATACCTCTGTAGACATCTCATTCTCCCTGGGCTTCTACTGCCATAAAACAAACTCCAACCTGACCCGGATCTTTACACTTGCAATAACTCCAGAGCAGTGATTCATTCACCCCTAGGCTCGTGTGCTCCCCATTGGTGTTACAGTGCAAAGCTAACACTACATTAGAGCACTGCAGTTTGTGTTTCACCACCTTCCTCTTTGGCCTAAAGATAAATCCCAAGGTCCTCGCCAAGGACAGCCCCGGGGCTGCAAACCCTGGCTCCCTCAGGCTGTGCTGATGTGCAAAACCGGGAACAGAACCAGGTCAGCATCTTTCCTAAACACCATTGAGATGCCCGTGCCCACCTGGAGCTGCCTGAAGCTGCCTGTTCTTTGTCCTCTGAGTACCAGCCGCCTGACAAACCTGGTGTGCTGGGGCAGCGGTTGTGTTCTGAGCTGTGGGAGAGCAGATGCACAGGGAGGATCGAGCCCAGCCACGGACTGAAGGCATCATCAGGCTGCCTGGGATACTCCTCCATGCAGAGGGTCAGCACGGGAACATGGAGCAGCTGGAGGAGCATCCTGCCCGTGGGAGGGAGGAAGGAGGCTTTGTCTTGTTCTCTTCTCTCGGGTACCACCTGGGATGCAGAAATAGCCCTGCCTGTGCAGACACAGCACTCAAACCCAAGCTGATGCTTGCAGGGTGTTCGGTGGAAGCTGCCCATCCTGCTGCAGTGCTTGCATCAGGAGAGCCTGGGTTATTCCATAGGATCATAGAGCCACAGACTGGCTTTTGGGTTGAAGGGACCTTAAAGCCAGGGGGATGTGAATGTGGGGAGAGAGAAGACAGTGTTTGCACTGTGACAAGAGCTGCCACCTCCCAGTCTTCGGGAGCAGACACTGCCCTGTTCAAATGGTGCCACTGGAAAGAGAGGAAAAGCCCCGTTTGCCCACTGCAGATCCATGGAAGTGAGCAGAATGGGGCTGGGCTCCAGGCAGGTTTGCTACTGAAAAGGCTGGAGGCTGGTGGAAAACAATGTGGAGATGAAAGGAGCCTCAGCCGTCAATCCAGAGGTCAAGTCATTATGATGGGGGAATCAGAAAGCACCGCAAGCCGTTTATGAACACAATAGAGGTCAACCCAGGAGCAAAGCATTTTGCTCGGAGCCAGGGTGGAAAACATATTGCTGTTGGAGAGCTACATCCATCCGGGAGGTGGGAAAATGACTGCAGCTCCAGTGCTTGAACGTGCGCATGGGATGCGTTCCGTGCACATGGAACGGGGGTGGGTGGGTGGTGCCTGTCTCAGGTTTACATGATGGGAATATCTGGGACACAGGGAAAACCTGAGCAGGGCAGGACACGGAGAGCGGCTTCCTGCAGTCCCAGGCACTTGCTTCAAAGCACAAACCAACCCCAAACCAGCTTGGTTCTGACGTTCAGCCACTCCTCAGCAGCCAGGGCCAGGCTCTGCAGCAACAGGACCCCAGGAAGGACAAGGTCTGGCCCCGGCTCTGGAAACCCTTCCATGTCTGTGTGTTGGGACCTGCTGGAGCAAGGGCAGGCTCGGTTCCTCAGGAGGGAGTCTCTACCCCGCTGGGATGCAGGGTCCCTCCATCACTGCCTGCTCAGGTGCCGAGGGCGCAGCACAAGGATAACGTCCACAGCGTCCGCTTCTGCCTCTTGGCAAGGTCATTCCCATGCTTTTGGCCACACAAGAATCTGGGAAGAGGGAGGGGAGAGAAGAGAGAAGCCACAGGATAAATGCATTGGAGCAGATCCATACCCGCAGAGCCATTGCTCAGCCCCAGGCTCCCCTTCCCCTGCCCAGCACCGTCCCCAGCCCCTGTGACCCCTCCATGCAGTGCAGGCAGAGGGTGATGCTCGGAGGGGAACTGCTCCTTGGAGAGGGGAGAAGAAAGGAGGCAGCAAACGCCCCCCCCCCAGCGTACCAAGGGGAAGGGGATGGGTCCCAAGGTGCAGCTCAGTGGGATGCACACAGGAGCCTGCTCCTCACACTGCCGTCTCCTGCTCCGCGCTGGACTCTTCTTTCTTCCTCTTCATCTTGCAGAAGCCATGGAGCCCACAGAAGCAAGCGAAGGTGAACTGGGGCATCACCTGGAGCAGGAGGAGAGGCTTGGGAGCACCCCTGGGAGACCTGGATGGGGACAGGGAGAGGAGTCAGGGCAGCTGTGGGTGATGGTAATGGTTTGACTTGATCTTCAGGGTCTGTTCCAGCCTGCTTGGTTCTGTGATTCCATGCACAGGGAAGATGGAGGGTGTGGGACAGACCCCCCCATCACCAGAGCATCACCCTGCATGGGCGCACATCCCATTATCCAGCCCCACCGCCGCACACTCCCAATTCCCCACCCAGCGGAACACAAGGAGGTCAAACCCCTCTCCTCAGCAGTGAACAGACATGGGGACAGCTTGCAGGGCCTGGTGCATGTTTGAGGGCTGGGGGGGAGGCCCCTGGGAGCCCCCGGCACCAGTGGTTATGGCACAAAGAGGCAAAGCTGAGAGCGGGGTTCACTCCCTTTGTGTGTGCTGGTGCCCCAAAGCACAGCCCACGTCATGGCCCCATGGCTGCAGTGTGATGGTGCAAGTGAAAGGCTGGGTTTACATAGAAATAAATATCAAACATGCAGAAATCGTGTCTGAGTGAGCCCTCCATCCTCTCCCGGCTCCATTCTTAGCTTCTGTACAGTTTGCTGGTGACCAGCTCTGATTCTGATGCTCGATGCCCAGTGAGTCACATTCTTAGCACCAGGACCGTGCCATCCCACAGCCATGCAGAGGGATCACAGCATCCACAGCTCCCTGCAGCGCCTGGACTCAGCATCTGCTCCCCATGAGCAGGGAACATCTCGTAGCCTCAATTTACCCCTCTGTGCAATGGGGGTGATGCTGCCTGGGGACCAAGTGGCAACCTCAGTGTATGAGGCACTGCCACCTCCCGAGGCTCATGGACATGGGCAGTAGCGAGCAGAGAGTGGGCACTGCTGGGAGCCCTGAGCCTGCTGCCTGCAGCCCACAGCCCCAGCAGGGCCAACCAGAACAATAACCATGGGGGAAAGAAGCCAAAGCAAGTGGGGTCTATGGACCCCCATCTCTCCACACTCTCCACCAGTGGTGATGATCAAGGGGGTGATCCCACATCCCTGCCTTTCCTCTTTCCCCCTTTCCAAGGGGCCCATCTGCAGCACAAAGCCAATGGCAGCATCCCATTTAAATCACTCCTGCTGCTGCCCCCCCCCCGCCATCTGGGTACCTGTCTATAGCACCCACATTGAGCCAGGCTACCTCTGGAGCTCACCCACAGTGACCACAGGCCCTTTCATGCACCTCCCATCCCGAATGTCTCCTGAGCACACCCAGGTTTCCCTTTGTGCTGCTGCTGCTTTGTGTTACCAGGCTGGGAATGGCTGGGTGTGGGGCAGCCCATTGGGATGGGAGCCACTCACCTGCGAACCCTGCATCCTCTTGGCTTTGCACAGCTTCAGCTGGGGAAGGGATGACAGGAAGGGAGAAGCATTGAAACCTGTGGGAGCTGGGATGATGGGGAGGGAGAAGCATTGAAACCTGTGGGAGCTGGGATGATGGGGAGGGAGAAGCATTGAAACCTGTGGGAGCTGGCACCCTGGTCTGGCACAACCAGGTCTGACCCAGCACTGCCAAAACCGGGTTGGGCAAATGCCTTCCTTGCCTATGCAGGGCTCTCACACAGTGCTTGACACCCTTCCTATGAACCAGGCAAACACGTCTGCACCAGACCCCCCAGGTCCCCATGGGGACCAGTCCCCCCCTATACCCCTATGGCCATCCCAGCCACCCCCCCTTGCACAAAGCCCCCCATGAGAGCCCGGGCGGTGGGGCTGGGACCCTGGCTTCCATTAGGAGCTATTGATATTTAGAGGAGCTTGCAGCACGGAGGCTTTTCTGCCTCCCATTCAGGCAGCAGACAATGATGAATGAGCCCCGCAGAACAGAGGCAGCCCAGCTGAGCCCGGCGCTCCCCTTCTTGGAAAGGTGGAAAAAGGGGCCTGGAGGAGCAAGGACTGGTGCACAATAGAAATGACCTGGCTTGGGCAGCACTGGTTTGCAAGGGCTGGGCCTGCTCCACAGCCCAGTACTACCTTTCCTATGCAGGGGAGATCAATTTGGCTGAAACTGCACTGCAAACACGAGGAGCAATAAGGATGTGAAGCTGGAGAATTCCCTTTAGTGAAGTGCATCACCCCGGGCCGTGTTTGTCACTGTCACAGTGATGAATTGGGAGCTGTCTGGAATCAGCACGCTCGCTTTAGCAATGGCACTTCTCCCTCAGCCCTCAGAAATGCCTTTCTGAACCAGCTGGACACAGTCTATTCCTTCAGCCAGCAATAACCCACTTCCCTGGGCAGGCAGGAGGCTCAGACAGGGCAGTGCCAGCAGGGAGGTGCAGGCAGGGATGCTGGCAGTGATACAGGCAAGGATGTAGGCAGAGGTGCAGGCAGGGATGCTGATAGGGATTCAGGCAGTGGATGTCAGTGGGGAAGGGGTGCTCGGCTGCTTTTCGTCCCCTGCCCCAGTGTTTCCATTGCTGAGCAAGGGCATTGAGTCCACTTTTAGCTACTTGGTTGGAAGAAAACCCATGCGAAGTTTTGCATTTTAAACCCCACATTTCAAAGCTGCCTTTTGCCACGCTGGGGTTTGTTTTCCTGGGAAATGAGCTCATTTGCAATGGAAATTGCTCCCATGGTTTTGCAGGGAACCAAATGGGATGAAATAATTTGTAGTGAAATGTAGAAATGTTCCCACAAATTCATCTCGATTGCCTTTCGTGGTAGCGAGTCAGCATCGTCCACCTCTGCAGCCAGGATGCTCAGGAAGGGCTGGGGATCACCAGCCTGGTTCTCCAAGATCCGCTTAGGAGACACCCTTGGAGAAGCCCAGAGCTCATGGGACTTTCTTCCTATAATATAGCATTGAATCACAACCTGGCTTTGGTGCAGCGACCTTAAAGCTCCTCCAGCCCCAACCCCTGCCACGGGCAGGGACCCCTTCCACTGGAGCAGCTTGCTCCAAGCCCCTGTGTCCAACCTGGCCTTGAGCACTGCCAGGGATGGGGCAGCCACAGCTTCTCTGGGCACCCTGTGCCAGCGCCTCAGCACCCTCACAGGGAAGAGCTTCTGCCTAAGAGCTCAGCTCAGTCTCCCCTCGGGCAGGTTCAAGCCGTTCTGCAGGAGGGTGCATGCAGCCCTGGAGCTGTATTTCAGTTTAATGCCAGTTTCGCTGGTGCTCAGCCAAGCTTTCCGAATCATTATTTCCTGTATTTCCCCCCCTTTTCCTCCCACAAACCTTGGCCATCTCGCTGCTTACAACCAGCCCTACGAGAAAACCGCCTTCAAAGCACTTTCTATAATGAGCAACGCCGCATTAGAAACCCGACAACGACGGGGCCGGGCTAAAACTAACCTGCAAAGCAGCAGCATCCCTTTAAGGGGAGATAATGAAGGGCGAAGATGCTGCCTGGCGTGTTTGCAGAGCAGCAGCGCTAATTAAAACACGGCTCCCGTAAAGTCTGCTGAGCCCATGGGTTCTCCCCCCCCCCATTCATTTGCCGGGGGAAGGCAGTGTCGCCGGGGTCCTCATTAGAGAGATTTCACTGGCTGCAGTTAATGGTTGTAATTAATAGGTGCAATAAGTTTCCAATGGGCAGCCCGGGTGTTCATTAGCCCTGGGCTGACTCAGCACCGGTGGCCTCCCCGCTCACTAAAGAGCCCATTTCAAGCAGGAGGGAGGGGAAGGTGCTCCATGGCCCGACCGGCGCAGGCGGCAGTCCCTGGCCGGAGCAGAGCTGGGTAAAGCATTCCCATTCAGTCCCACATTTGTCCCGTGCAAACCTGCTCCAGTGACCCGCGTTCCGGGCGGGATCAGCGCTCCAGGAACTGAACCCTCTGGTGCAAAGGGGGGGTAAATACACAGGGATAATGGCATGGATCAAAGCCGGGGGAAGCTGCTCATGCAAAGCGCAGCCCCACACGCGGATGGCTCTGCCCTCTGGGGATGTGGGGTTCACTGTGGTTTCCTGTGCCCTGTGGGCATCCGGTGGTTTCAGATCTCTCCAGGTTCCCACTGAGCATCATCCCCTCTATAGGGTATCCCAGTGCTGCTAGCGAGGTGCTGGGAGTCCCACTGTGTCCCATTAGGGCTTGGTGCTGTCACAGCTTTGATTAAGGCCCCAGCTTTTCAGTTCATTATCATCTGGCTGTAATTAAACTATTAATAATTGGCACTTATCTCCTGGGATCAGCAGCCATGGGGCTGGGTGACCCAGCGCTGCTCCTGCTCCTCTTCCAGCGCACAGAGGCAAATCCCATCCCAATCCCCATGCGGGTTAGCCAGCAGGCAGTGATCCCAGTGGGATGAGAGCCCTGCTCTCCCCAGCACTGTGTGGGAGCTGTGCACAAGCCTCTTGGTTCTCACACTCCTGTTGCCACGAGGGATGCCCAGGATGCGGATACGGGATGGGGGCTCTGTGTTGGGGCATGTGGCTGTGATTCCCCCTTCCTGCAAGGCAGCACAGGACAAGCCCGTGCCTCATCCACTGGCAGCTCTGGGATACGGTGGATGCCTCACTCATACAGAGCAGTTATTATCTGTAATTAGCAGCTTGTCCCACTCTGCACATTTGCTCCTGGGATTTGAGGAAGGACCAGGGACTGCTGGAGGGGTCCATCTGCTCCAGCACCTTCCTTTGCGGGTGCCTTTGGAGGTGGAGATGGCCAGGAGCCACCTTTGCAGTGGCTCTTCCTCAAGCTCACTGCTCTGGACCAGGGATGGGATTTCAATCACTGCATTTTAATGATAGGTGTGTGCCCAAGTTCTTGAAGATGCTTTGGGAACGCCAGCCTCATCTCCTGCTTTAGTTAATGCCCCCATGCTGTGTAAGCACAGCAGCCGAGGGGTTCTGCTTTGTGCAGTGATTGCAGCCGCAGGTAGAGGCTGTGCTAACTGAAAGGTGCTGGAGCTGCTGCTGGGAGGTGGATGCCAGACAAGCCAAGAGCTCACCTGGTGCTGGCAGCACCTCCTCTTGGCCATGGACCTTTTCCAGGGGTCCCTGCCAATGCCTTCTGCACGGCTCCCATCAGAACACTTGTCCCATACAGGGCTTCCAGCCTGCCCTGGGGTCAAACACTGAACACCACAAATCAAGCCCTTTGTGCATTGCTGGAGGGAGCTGGAGCTCAGCAAGGAATGGCAAGAAAGAGATTGGGTCCCCTGGCTCCTGAGCACAGCCACCCCATCCAATGGACCCGTTCAGTTCATCCCATCCTGGCTGCTCCAACCACAACCCCATGGAAACCCAGTCGTGGTCCCTCCATCTCTTCCCTGCTTAATGCCTGCCTTGCTAAAAGAAGACTCAATGGTGTACAAGGCAGTGAGAGCAAGTCTCAGTGATGGAGCATCTGGGCAGCACAGCGCAGACAGGCTGCCCATAGCCCTGCTCTCATCAGTTGGTATCTGCCCAACAGCCTCAGAAATGCTGATGGGTGTTTGCATCCCTCCGTGCTCTCTTCACCATGGGCAGCCACCACCGGGGATGGGTTCTGAACCCCTGCACCAGGATCCCCAGTAGCTCTTCCCCAGTGTCTGCAGGAACCTTGCTGGGGGGCTTGAGGCTGCCCTGGGGTTTTATTGCACCCACTGACCCACCAGGACCAACCTGAGAGGGGTTTGCTCATTGCCTCCCCAGGGAAGTGTTTGGGGTTGCAGAATGAATGGCAAACCCAGGTATTTCTGGTTAATCTGCCCTGTTCTCCCTGTCCTGGGGGTTAATGGCACCCTCACAGCAGGATCCCCATGCGGGGATGGGAGCAGCAGGACCAAGCCATGCGTGTCCACCAGCGTCAATGGCTCTGGGCAGCCATTGTCAGGGGTGAATTTTCTGAATGAGCAAATCCTCATTAAGGAATAATTAAACGAGGCCGGGGAGGCCGGCTCCATCCCCTTCACTTTGACGGATGCTGCTTGGTGTCGCTGCTTGCTGGGCCCCAGCCTCGCCAGCTCTCCTGCTTTCATTGTTGGACCTCGGGGGATTTCACCATTCTCTTCCTTCCACACCTCCCTGAGTCATGGGATCACAGCTGAGCCTCAGCTCCGGGCTCTTTTCAATCACTGCTCCTGTTAAAGGTGCATTCCAGGCTGGTGAAATAAAGGTGGAAGCCTGACACCAGGTGACCCAAGGTGCAGGAGGGGAGAGGACAGGGAAAGAGAGAAGGGAAATCACTCCTTCCTGCTTGGCAAAGGTGGTTTGGAACCCCCACCACTGCTCGGGTGCTGACAGAGGCAGCAGGGGCTGGGTGATGGGGTCTGCAGTGATGGGGTCTGTGGTGATGGGGTCTGTGGTGATGGGGTCTGCAGTGATGCAATCAGTGGTGATGGGGTCTGCAGTGATGGGGTCTATGGTGATGGGGTCTGCAGTGATTTGATCTGCAGTGATGTGGTCTGCAGTGATGGTGTCTGCGGTGATGGGGTTTGTGGTGATGGGGTCTCTTCCCACCCCGTCCACCCTGCTCTCCAGGCTGCTGTGCTCACAGACATTGAACTGTGTTTAACAAGTGCACACTGTATGTAACCTGTCCTTCCCAATGCTCCCAGCCACACATCCTTGGTCCATGGGGTGGCTACGGCCTCATGGTCACCACAGGGATGGATCCTGCCCGGTCTGCAGCACCCCTGGAAGGGTCACGATTGGGGGGGAGATGGGGCTGGAGGTGCTGGGCTGCTCTCAGCCCCCCAGGACACCACCAACAGCAGGAAGGGCTCCTGCCATCACCTGCAGGCGTTTCGGTGCCCTTGGCCATGCCCTTGCTCTCTGCCTGATGCTTTTGTTCCATGGGGCTGCAGGTGGGGACGCTTTGGACCGTGTGAGAAAAGCTCTCGCTGCCAAAGAAAAGCAGCTCTGAATGGGGACGCCGGCGCCTGAAAGGCCGAGCCCCCCCCATCCCCGTCCCCCTTTGTCTGTCCCTGTGCTCTGCAAGGCTTCAATGCCCCCTTTCTCTCGTTATTTGTTACCAAATAAATATGAGTGATTAAAAAGGGATCAGGAGTCCGGGCGGGTGCGGAGGTGCCTGGAAGGTGCAGTCCCTCCTCTGTGTAGCCCATGGCTTTTCGCCCTACATGAGTTAGGCAAAGCAATCACATAGGAATAAAAAGCCATAGACCACAGCAGAGGGCTTACCCAGGATAAGCCAGCGGTCTTTGGGGAAAGAAAAGGAAGAAAGGGGTAAAGGAGGCTGGAGGGAAAGCAGCCCTTCCATCTGTATTGTCCTCCCTCCCTGCTTAAAAGACAACGTGCCATACCCTGGATCGATGGCAGCATGGCCAAGGAGCAAGCAGGGAAATGGTTTAGCCTCTCTCTGCAGTGTCCTGGCCACAGGTACACCTTACCTCTGTGCGTGCATTCCCCATCACACCTTCTGTGCTGCTTTTGAGCATCCCAGGAAACCCCTGAGCTACAAACCAGAGTCCCCTGGCTGCCAATGGAGCAGCACAGACGTACACAAGGTGATGTGTTCCGTGCTGCCAATGGAGCAGCACAGGCGTACACAAGGTGATGTGTTCCGTGTGATGTGTTCCGTGGGGTGCTCCCATCTCCATACCCCCAGAAGAGGCATCCCAGGACAAGGCGATGCCCATGGGGAGAGCACATCTGCAGCAGCTCCCCCGAGAGCCGGCCACAGACCTTACCCTTAGCAGCAGCCTCTCCACCTCCCTGCACCCGGTGGCACCCGAAGTGCCCTGGGAAAGCACCAGCCTCTGCCTCCATCCTTTCCCCTGCCAGGACTCACTCATTCCGCAGCAGTGCTGCCGATTGCCAGGAGCTGATGAGGTCAGCTCCGCTCCTGAGGGCAGGAAACTCCCTTTCTTGTTGCCCTAGCAAGAATCCTTGGGAACCTCAGTGTTTCTAAAGCTATGGAGCAGCTGGGTTTGGAAGGAGGAAGGAATTTGCGCGCTGCGGTTCGTAATAGCAGCGAACCTGACTTCGGCCGACAAACCGAGCTTCTGAAGCACTCGGGTAGCTCCGAACTGCCGTTTCCCGAGGTTTTTCCTCTTTTAACTCCCATACGTGAATGGGAAAGGGAAAAAAGCCGCTTTCTGACACAGCCCTGCTCCCGTCCCAGCCCCTGCACCCTGCAGCAGCCGCGGGAGGATGCACCCATAGGCAGCCCCATGGCTCGAGCATCATTTGGCCTTGGTGTTGTGTCCTTGGGTGCTCTGGGGAGCTCCTCCAGCAAATACCGTGGGGTGCTGTGTGCATGCAGGACCCCCACCTATGGGTCTGCCCCCCAGCTCTGGCACCAACCCAACCCCTTGGTCCCCAGGGGTACACTAAGGGCACAGCCCCAGTTTCATTGCTCATCAAGGGGTAGATCTGAAGTTAAGCACTCTTTGGGTATGGCCCTCTCTGCTTTGTGGCTCTGCTTTGGCACCCAAGACCTTCCCAAGGAGGTTGCACCCAGCACAGGGCAGCTCCAGTGCCCACATCAGAGCACAGGGACACGTCCCCATCCCAAAACCCCAGCCCCACACCACAGGGACCCAAGGACAGCCCAGAGCATGGCTGAGCTCACCTTTGGCAGCGTGGCATCCTCTCCATGGGAAGACACCAGGATACCCGGCACTGGCCTTGGGATGGCATCACCTGCACCATCCTCTCCCGGCCCTGCCAGCGAACCCCAGCACGCAGGGATGTGCAGGGATGCTCAGGGATGCGCAGTGATGTGGGTGCCCCTCATCCCATCACCTCCAAGCCCCGTGTGGCTACGGGGGGTCCCGTTTGTGGATCCCAGGCTCCTGCTGCCATCCCCATGGCTCTGCGGAGCCTCGCCGTGTGCTGCATGCTTGAAATGGTTGAGCACCGAGGGGCTGGAGGGAGGGAGGGAGCGGGGGGTCAGGTATTTCTCCATCCCCAGCTCCGGAGAGCTGGTAACAAAGGCGCTATTGAACTGCAGCCTCTCTGGTCTGTGAAGCAGAAACCTCTTGTATCTACTTCACTGCCTTTGATCTAACTCCCCCAGTGGGATGGATATTACTCATGTCCTGCTGCTCGGGTACTGCTGCCAGCATGGGACGGGGGGGAACAAGCCCCCTCTTGTCACCCTGGGTTTGGGAAGCATCCTGCCTGCACCAGGCAGGAGCACCCAGTGCCCATCTCCGCTGCGGTCCTTCCCTATGGCCCCTCTTCATCCCCTCTCCATCCCAGACCTCGGGGTCTGTGTGCGGGCACCCGAGCGTAGAGGCGGGAGGAGCAGGGCTCTGCACTCGCATTCCTCTTCTGTAATTAAAGCCGGTGCGCTGGGTGGAGGGGGAAATTCCCAAAGGGTTTTGCTGGCATCTGGACAAGGGTCAGACAATGAGAACATTTGACAGGGAGCCCAAATCCGCTCTGTCTTGGATCAGCGCTCAAAGCCTCCCCCGTGCGCTCCGTCCCGCGGTGGGGAAGGTGGGGGGCTCCTTGGTGGGGAAGGGGGCTGGGAGCTGGGGACTCTTTCACACCCCCCCTTCAAGCCTTATCCCAGTGAGGCTGCCCAAAATCACAGCACTGAAACCGCGCTCCCACCGGGATCCCCAGGAGAGTCCCAGGTAAAGGCAGCAATAGCAGACCTTGGCCTTCCCAGTCCTGGGGGCAGTGGGATGCTCTGACAGCCCAGTGCCACCACCCCAGGTACCAGAAGCGCTTGAGTGCCTTTGGAAATCTCATTCTCCCGTTCACAGGAACCCTGCTCCCAGCAGCTCCCAGCAGCACCGGGGAGGCAGGAGAGGGCATCGCCTCTGGGGGTACCCCAAGTGAGAGCACCCAAAATCACAGCAGCAAAGGAAGCCTCCCCAGAGCCAATGGCTCTTAGCTCTGCTTCACCTTTCCCAGAGCTCATCCCTTCCTTCCCCAGCTCCCTGCCCATGTCTCAGGAGTGGGAAAAGCCTCTCCAGGGCTGCATCCATCCCCACTGCAAGGTGGAGAGAAATAACATGTACCTTACAAGTGGGAAGGGTGGGTGGACAGATGGATGGACAGATGGACGGATATTCAAGAACAGGAGCTGGGCACACCTAAAGGATATTGTTTTCCACAGAAATCCAGAGCAGTTGCATCCCTATCAGCCTTCCTTTTAGGGGATCATCTGTGGTCCCCCCTCCCCATCCCCTCTCTGGCTCATGCCCCATGTCAGGGAGTGCAGGACCCAACTCTTGCTTCACTCTCAAGCATTAACCACTAGAACTTGGGGAGCAGTTGAAGTCAGAGTTGGGCAATGATCCATTTTCAAGCTGTCTTAACTGGCTCCAGCACAGCAAGATTAGATCTACTAATCACATTTATAAGGCGCCCAGGATCATGAATTGGGTATTTGGAGAGTATTTGTCATTGTAACAATGTCATTTCCCAGCCTTCAGCAGGCATTACCTTGTTCTCCAAGCCATTAGGGGTGGACTTTTTGGCTTTATAGAAACATTCACACGGGGAAGAGGAGGCTCCAAAGCAGCTCTGGTCGCAGTGCTCTGTACAGCTGAAGGTGCACGGCGTCTGTCACTTGTATGTCCCATGGGTAGGGTGATACTGGGGTTCTTTATGGGTTTTAACCAGCTTTCTCATCACCTGATTTTGTATTGTAACAGAATGGACATAACCCAAATCCTTGCAGGATGCTCCATAAACCCCCTCTTACAGGCGATAGGAGGGAGGGCAGGTGAGCTGAACAACATCCGGGATCACACAGCGCATCCTTAGTGCTGAGCCTGGGAAAGCCACACAGATCTGCATCCCTGTCGCGCCTGAGGATGCGAGCACGCTGCCTGCAACACCCTGCCCAAGACGTGCCAGAGATGTGCTCAACGAGCCCTGCTTGCAGCAGCAATCACAGCCTGTGCTCAGCCGCTGCCGCCGGTGCTGCTGCAGCGCATGGAGCAGAGACCAGACAGACCCCAGGCCCCCTCCATGGGGTGTTCTGGCAGCCACAGCAAAGGACAAGGCCAAAATAGCCCCGGTTCCGCAGGTGCCACCGCACGCTCCTTCAGGACACAGCATAAACCTGGCTTGTTTGGGAGAGGGAAGAGGAGGAGCCCTGCACCCAGCTCTGGGGCAGCAGCACCGCAGGGACCTGGAGCTGCTGGAGCGAGCCTGGAGGGGGCCTTGGGGATGCTGCGAGGGCTGGAGCAGCTCTGCTCTGGAGCCAGGCTGAGAGAGCTGGGCTGGGGCAGCCTGGAGAAGAGAAGGCTCCTGAAGGGGAGACCTGAGAGCAGCTCCAGTGCCTAAAGGGGGGCAGGATGAGCATCACCCCTGCACCTTCAGCTCCCCTGAGCTCAAACCTGCCTCGGAGGGGCATCACCCTGGGCACAGCCTTGGGAAGGAAAGGGCTCAACTCATCTCCCACCATCACAAATCAGGGCTGAATCCACTGAACCAGACCCCAAACCCCCTTTGCGCGTGGCTTCACCATCCCAGGCACAAGCTCAACAGCACCTCCAAAGCCCCATCCCCAGCTCCCTCCTGGGACAGGAGCAGAGAATGGAATTCACACCAGAGCTGGCTGGCTCTTGCCTCGGGCTCTGCAGGGTCTCTGTGGCTGTGTTGAGCCAGCAGCCCCCGAGAGACCCATCTCCTGCAAGCCCAGCTCAGGCTCACCCAGCTCATGGGTGCTCCTTGTCCTCTGCTGTCATCAGCAGCTCGGTGCAACAGGCAGAGTGCAGGGACAGCAGCAGCACTGAGGGGAGGAGATGTGGGGCTGGGATTAGAGACAGCACAGGTTAACCCTGGAGAGGGGACCAGCAGGTTTGTATGGGCTGAGTGGGGAGGTTTGGGGAGCATCGTGGGCGCATCCCCTGTGTCAGGGGAGGCATTTGTGATGTGAGGTGTTTGTGTTCCATCTCCTGCTGGCCCTGTTGTTCGCTGCTGCCAGTGATTTCTCACATGCTGCTGACAAGTCCTCAGGGACACAATGTGATGCCCATTAGCATGAGGTGAGATTCTGGTGGAGAAAGTGTCTCTGGTGCACTTTGGAGACCTTCCCTCCATCGCTCCCCATGCTGGGCAGGGCACCAGGGTCCCATTGCTCCTTCCCAAGGGAGAAGAGAAGACAAACCCCATGGGGAGACCCATGCAGTGTGAAGGTGGCCCCAAGCCCATACCTGAGCCTGTCCTCTCTGCCTGGAGCCGTCCCAGCCCTGGTCCCACCCGACCCTGCTGCTGCATGCCACCGCTCCCTGGGGATGCAGACACAAAGCAGGAGGGGACATCCCTTGGGTTCCTTATTCTCTAATGATCACAGGCTATCACAGCACAGCCCCAGGGGTGCCCCCAGGCTCATGGGCACACACACAGAGCACCCAAATCTCTGCACAAGCCAACAAGAACTGTTTGGTGTCCCCAGACCCCGCCAGCCCTCAGGTTCCTTTGGTTTCACCACCCCAGCACATCAGAGATAACGGCAGCAACCCAATGACACCAAAACCAAGGCAATTCCTACCTCCAAGTCATTAATTTCCTCTCCCCTCGCTGACATCACCGCTCAGGTTAATACATGCAGCACTTCCCTTATCTTTCCTTGGGATTACCTCATCGGAGAGCACCCGGAGAGCCTCCCTCTGTGTGCCAAATACCAGCAGTGGTGCCGGAGCTGCAAGTTTGCAGCCGGAGGAAGGATTGCTCAGATGCAGCTCTGGCAATCCCGACCACACCAGCCCCTCGTGCTGTTCTCCTGCAGGATTCAGTGGTACTCAGCAAGGCACAGGCACCAACAAATCTGTTCTTTGCCCTTCAGTTCCCACTCATTGCAAAGCAAAACACGCTCTGCACCAGGCAGAGTTCCTCCTTCTCTGCAATCGGGGCTGGTGCACGGGCTTTCTATCCATTGCCATCAATGCAAAAGTGTTTGCACACCCTCCCCAGTCCTACAGAACACCCCCACTTCTTGTGTGTGCTACTTGAGTAAGACAAAAAGAACTTAGCATATGCACACGAGCATGTATTCATGTACAGGAGCACTCGTACAAGTGCAGGCTTCATCCTGAAATCCAGCACTTCAAGAGCTCACGTGTAATTTAGCTGGTGAGTACATTAACGTGTTGCATGTAATTGTGTGTCAGCATAAGTAACGTGATTACACGTGAATATGTGTATATACATATATATACACATATATACACACATATACACGTATAGACACATGTATACACACACATATATACACACATCCCCACAAACATTCATATAGTGATGGATTTTGACCAGTGGGTGATTATTCTCACCTAAACCAAAGAGGGTTCAATTTGTTTCAGCTAATTACATTTATACCCCCAAGAACATAACTTCATCTAACAAGAATATATGCAAGCGAATGCCACACATTAGCTTCAGCGCCGCGTGAGCAGCTGTTAACGCACAGACTCGCATCCCCACACAGAACACACTCTCAACACACACAATGAGCAGAGGAAGGACCTGGCTTGCTTTGGGGTGCCCATAGGCATTGCCTGGGGCGGGGTGCAGCGCAGGTAGCACACGGTGGCTGCGTGTGGTTCACATGTGCTCATGAGATGCCCATCGCACACGGAGCGAGCACACGCTCCTATTGACTGCCCCGCTCCCCCCCATGCACACACACAACTCCTCAGGCAAGACTTGAGACAAAGAAAGGAGACAAACGCAGCCTTACTTCGCTTTCCTCCTCCTTTTGCTCTCCTCCGTCTCTCCTCACCTCGGGACGTCAGCGGGACGGCGATTCTCCGCTGGG